CCACCTTGAGTTATTTATAAAAATAATAAAGGCGGGACAAAAAAATCTACCCCCCCCAAATTCCTGGTGTTCTCAAAAGAAAACACCCCTCAATCCACAAATAACTTCACTGGGCTCCAGCCAACATTATCTCAGAGGTGATGGGAAAAGCCAGGTCTTCAAGGCTTTCCAGAAGGCTTGGGGTAGGGTCCTGCCAGATCTCAGAGTTCAACATTTTCTATACAATTGGATTGAAGGCCATTGAGAAACTCTCCAGAAGAAAATTAGACCCAAAGATAAGATACTAATCCAGAACATAAGAGCCAAGAGATCTTAACATTGTCTATATATAATATCCATCCAGCAGCTTCCAAATAAATTGAACAACAGCTCCCATTATTCCAAAACAGCATAGTTCCTTGTCACATTGAAAGTATATAATTGGAATTACAATCCTAAATGTCTGGACAACACTATGATTTACATAGACAATAGTAAAAACATTTATGTATGATAGTATCATAAACCTATAGAAATTAAAAATGACAGTGAATGTGTATTATCAACCAGATGCTTACAGTAATGTGTAATCTTAACTATGTAACAATTAACCAAATGCCCTTTGTCAAGAATCTCTTTATGAGGAAGAAGCTAATCAAACTAAAAAACGCTTATTATTTCATGGTTTTTAACTGGTCTAATGTTATGCTATTTCACTGTCCTGACAACAGATAGAAATTATCAAATAAATTTAACGTATGATACTATCTCCAGTATTTTGCCATGGGCTCAAAAACATTTTTCTAGTTTTTTTTATCTATTCACTTTTTAAAATTATTTTATAAGGACGTTTCTTGTGTTACATGGATTTCTTCCACCATTTGGATCGCAATAACCAGACTTAGAAATTGGCTCACTTTGTAAATAATAATTTGGAAATTAGGAATGACCAAACTCGTTCCAAAACAGCTGAAAGAAATTAAAATTCATATATGACTTTCTTGTATACACTTTACCTATTTTTAACCTTACCACTATGGCAGTAATTTATTCTATGGTAAGCTGAAGGGTGAAGATATTTTCACAAGGAGAAGAGCATTGGTTAAATATTTGTATAATTTTATGGCCGATCAGTTTGCAAATCTGAACTGGATATGTCATCTTCCTCAATGAGGTAGTTTTCAAAAATGTTAGAACTTTCAGAATACCAAACTAGCATGGCTGGAATGTGGCAGTTCTAGACTTTAGTTCCAACATTTCTGTTGGATGTTGAATAGAGAATGCTGCTATAGGCACAAAGTTGCCCTTTCAATGAAGAGAAGGAATTCTGGAATTATAGAACAAAGGAAAAATTAAAAAGAACCTACCATTAGGGTATGGAGTTTCACATAGGGTTAGAAAATCTACTATTGAATAATCCATTTCTAGAACAGCAGTGCTCTTTCCATGCATAACAGTTAAACAGGGTCTTCTTCCAACAGTGTCATATGATAAGCCACCTGACAAGATGATAAAAGGCTCCCTGAAAATCAAGACAAATAGATAGTTAAGACAATGAAAGATAATATCAAAAAACATTGTTGGATTTAGTACAATGAAGTACTAAATTATGTACCTGGAATAATATATTAAGAACTCTGTGTGCTAGAACTGCTTGTTGTACAAGAATATAGGCTTACCATATGGACTGGATGGTATTAAAACAAAAACAATAAAACATTGAAATAATTGATAGTGTACTGAGTTGTGAATAATGGATACTTTTTTAAAAAAATAAATCTCTTCCAAGTTATAATTTGAGCAGCTGAAGAATTTATTTATTCATTTAAAAGATTTGTATAGCTGCGCTATATATATCTTATGTAACATAACCCTGGGTGACTCACAAGCAATAATAAAACATTAATAATAAAAACACAAGCAATAGTAAAAACAATAATAACAAAAACCAACAAAAAATTTCCCAGTCCCCAAACACAGCAAATCCAAACAAACTGTAGAGCTTCCCCGGGCTCCATCCCTCTATCAAGGATTCAGCATAAGCACTCCTTCATCAAAAGAGGGACTTCACATAAAATGCACTAGACTTACTAAAATGATTGGTTCCGTCCAGTATCCCATTAATATATTTCCATTCATGGAATGGAACTTACTTTTTTCCTTTAACTCCCATACATCAATAAATCTGGGAGCATCTTCCAGTCTGGGGACATGATAATTAAAATTCCATGAAAATTTTCCAGAAGAGTAACAATTTGGATGGTGATATATCCAGGTCATATTTATAGATGTATATAAACATATTTGGAACATAATTTTTTTTTACTGCATAAAACTGAAGAACCCATGAATACACACTTTTATTTCTGCATTTTGAATTCATATTAAATTTTTATACCTGTTTGACACATTTTATTTTGCAAAATGGAGGTTGGATCCAGAGAGACCAAAAAAAAAAAAAAAAGAATCCTTCCATTTGTGGGAAGGCTTCAGCTCAGTGAACATTTTTAATGCAGGAAGGGAAAGCTAATTTTTATCTATTTGCCCTTCCTCTGAAGCCTCTTAGAGTTGCTCTGGAGGGTCAGAGGATCCTTTCACACAGTGTAGAAGTTGCAGGATTATGCAGAAAAAATAAGGAATCCACTAAAATTGCTTGCTTCCTCTCTTCCAATGGAATGTCCCATAAGAGGCACTCTGTCTATGGCAAGCCTGGATCATACACTCCATCTTTAGACACAGTAAATATCCAAATCATAATTAAATAACTGTTGCCTAATTCTTACCCAACTCTGGTAGTTTTGTATTCCACTTTAAGAATAGGTTTACAGGGTTCTGGCTTCTTTCCATCTTTAACCTGCTTTCCTAAAACAAAATATTATCTTATTTTTATTTAAAATTAATTTGAAAGCTATCAAAATCTTAGAATTTACATTAAGATCGTAAGAATATTTCCACGTATTAGAAAAGTAATATACTCCATATGTTAGAAAAATGGTATTTCATGATTCATTATTAATAACATATGGGTTGAATCCAGATTAAGGCTCATGTAAAAGGGCTAGTGGAAGCAATCATCCCCATTCTCAACTCTTCAAGATAACTCCTCTAATGTTACAGTGGATTGGAAACTGAAATCAGGTCGGATGTGGTGACTAGACATTCCTAAATCTTATATGAAGCGCTGCTGATTTAGTGAATACTAGTTAACTTCCCATCTTTCAGAGGATCCTCTGTATTCAACTGGCTGAAGAGACTATGCACAGGAAGGAAGGAGCAGGAAAGTCTGTTTACTCTGGTTTTGCTACAAGTGTTTAAAAGTGGATTCATCTCCTTGTATTTTATAAGGAATGAGCATTTATCTGGAATAACTTTTAGTACTCGGCACAAACTGAATTCAATAGAATTTTATATAACATGTACTTTGAAAATGGCAAAGGATAAAGAATTTTTTTTCTTCACACTAACACTATACTTAAATAAGAGTTTTATACAATGGGACCAAATTAAAATTAGTATTGGTCTTTAAATGCACTGAAATATTGTAACATTTTTGTATGTAGTAATGACCTACAGCCTAATTCTGAATCATATTTGCTTTTAATTTTTAAAAAATTAAATTAGGTTTAACAATACAAAACACAATGCAAGACTGGCCAGATGCAAATGGTTGTTGTTATTATTATTATTTACATTAATGTATGTTATCTGATTACATGACACTGGAAAATCTTTTTGTAGGTATAATAATATACAGATATTCTGTGATAGACTAGGCACATTTAGGCATATTCTGGGAGCAAATTCAATAGGACTTACTCCCAGGTATGTATAGGAATGCAACATAAAGTTTAATGTAGCAATGTATTAAATACAAAACACATACATTTTGAACTTACCATGGGGAGTGATTGTCTGCAATGGCTTAGTAGGGTTCCTTACATTCCATATGGTTAGGGTGCCATCTGAATGGCTACAAATGAATTGCTTTCCTTCGTGATGCCAAGCTACAGAATGAATTGCCTGAGCAAAATAATAATAATAATTTAAAATATTAAGAATTATAAAATTAATTAAATGCTATTTCAGTTACTAAAACAGCATGGCAAAAAAGCCACAGGATTCTGGTAGCATTTTTTCTGACTACCGTTTTTGTTTTTAAAGGTACAAGCTTTTGTGGGCTGCAGCTCACTTCATTAGATGAATCTGATGAAGTGAGTGCAGCTCATAACCGCGTATGTCTTTTAATAAAATCTGTTAATCAGAAAAGGTGCTACCAGAATCCTGATTTTTTGCCACCACAGACTAACATAGCTCTCCTCCTATAATATCTAAAATAGCATGGAGGAAACTAACATTAAATTGAATATAATATGTATGCATATATATAACATGTTTAAATACCTCCGCGTAGTTAAATTTGGCATAAAACAATATTTTAATACAAAGGTAATTCTCAAGAAAATGTGTCCTCACATGAAGGACACATGCATTATTTATACAGCTATTCAGCTACATCAGTTATATCGTTTAATGTCATTTCAGTTATTTGTTTAAACTGTTCTAATGCAAATATTGTGCACTGATGGAAATTAGAAAAGTATACCAATATTTCTTTACAAATGGTTATTTATCCTAGCCTGTTAGACTACAGCATATTCTGTGCCTTTTGTATTGGATACAGTGAAATATTACAACCTCAGTTTTATACTTGTAGATCATCACAAAGTTATGTTGGCCTGGTATAATGTTACTTTTGCAGCAAAATACTCTGCCCTCCCCCCCCCTTAGCTCCTGAATGATGTTTTAAGTTAGTTGTTAAGACCATTATATGCAGACTTACTTCCATCTTGAAAAGCAACTTTTAAAATCTTTCTTATATCATGAATTCAAGAGATTTGACATATCAGTTATAACTGCATTATGCAATTATCTGTGAAGCACTTAGTTTATCAAAGTCATAAAAAGCTTCATCAGAAAAAAGTAATGGCATTTTTTTTTAATATTTATTTATTTAGCTAGCTAGCT